CTGACTTGCAACAATATCTTGTTTCAATTAAATCTTTACTGTCACTAGTTTTGCCAGATTAATCATTAAAATTATAACATTAATACTGTTTTATCTGTATAATCATATTACTTTTAAAAATGAGAATCATAAAAAATTGATCATTAAAAGAAACAACATAAAACAATCAGTAAATAAAAACAAAAAAATGTAGAGCTGTTAACTTTGTACTAGTATTAGTACTCTCAGCCGAGTTTTTACAGACCTATTAAGGTACACACACATAACTTCAAGTTTAATAAACATTAATCTACATATAGACACTCTAAAAAAGGTAATGTGATGCTTTTAAGGCAAAAATGCTCACAAGGCAAAACTCAACATTTGCAATGGTGCATGCCACATTTTGTTAATAAATAAGCATCCATAAAGTACAAAATGCACTGTTTTATACAAATAATACCAACTGCACTACAAAAAAATGATTACATAATATCATAATATAGAATTAAAATCTCATAGAATAATGTTCTTAAAAAGCAGTTTTGACACATGGAATATACTGCATTTAAATTTTGTGCAAAATTTTCATAAATATGTATTACAATAATTAAATACCTCAGCCTACTTTAGAATTATTACTACTGTACTTGTCATGAATTTACTACAAATTGAGAGAAAAAGAAGGCTCATTTAATGTAGTACATGGTTTAATGTAGTACATGGTAACATGCAAGTACAAAAATAAATGAACAAGGAGTGTAGATATGACAACTAAAAACTTATCAATGCAGCAAAGAATTATATAGAATTAGGACTTGCGACTAATAAAATTGATTTTTTATAATTGCCATTGCTATGAAACAATCGCCATGAAGGTATTGTAGGTCAAATTTAAAAACTATTTTGCATGTTGTATAGTTCCCATAATGCTATAATGCTAGCTAGCATAATAGCATTATTCCAGCTTGTTAAGTACTCCAGTAAAAATTGTTTTCACACACACACTTACCTACCATGTAAGTTCTGTCGTTCATTTCAGGATAACTGATAGTTACATAAAAAAAATAAACCATAATTTTAAAAATATAACTTAATACATATTTAGTGTAGTTATCTATCAATATTTATGTTGTAATAAGCTTATAGCAAAATACAAGTAAATACATGAAAGTAAAACTAATGGTGTTAGCAAAAGTACATACAATATGAAAAATTTTAAATACATGGTAGATGAAAGGTAGATACATCATGCAATGTCTGGTTATTAATAACAAAAGTAATGATTGCCAGTAATTGCAATGGTAACTTTATTGCCATCTGTGCTCAGGCAATATCAATGCTATATTATTAATGGTCCTTCATTGAATCTGATGCCTTAATGAATCTAAAATCAAGCGTTTATTTGAGACATAATGACAAAATACATTTTACAGTCAGAGACATGGGCATGTGAAAATTACTTACTCAGCAACCATTAACACAATCTTTTA